GCTTTTTTAGAGGCCACACGCACGCGTAGCTGTTGACCGTGTTTCAAGCTGGACAGACGCAGAACTATGGTTGCCGGATGAGAGAGGAAAAAATTGCACGTGGACCGGTCCATCATCACGGCGCAAGTCATCCGGGGCTGCGCTGCTCTACCTTTGCTCGATGACTTGTGCCGCAGGCTACAGATGCAGTGACGCTGCGACGAAGAGGGCTCGACCATGCCGCCCGCCGCGCAAGCCAGGCTGCTGTGGAGGGAGCTCAACTTCTTAGTGAAGAGCTGCGAGGCCTAGAAGCTGACGAAGCAGCTATCCGCGATTTGCACACTGCGGGCAAGGCGCTTGCAAACTGGCAGCCCTTTTGAATTGGAGCTCTTTTGAACTGGAGGAGAGGAGCGGGCCAGGCAAGGGCAGCGCGTGGCTGCCGGGGCGGTTGTCCGCTTAAGGTAGCGCGCGTCTGTTTTGGCGGGTAACATCTGGCTGCCTTGGCGGTGGTCCGCCTACAATGTTTGTCTGCCTTGGCGGTGGTCCGCCTGAGGCCACGCCTGTCTTGTCGGTGGTCTACTCGTGGGCGACCTCCGCTTTGGCGGTGGTCCGCCAAGGGGTGAGGCTGGCTGCCTGGGGCTGGAAGACATCTACATTACTCGCGTGTGTCTGCGGGCAGACTCGCGTGTGTCTGCGAATAGATTCGCGTGTGTCTGCGGGTAGACTCACGTGTGTCTGCGGGCAGACTCTCTTGCTTCGGGGGGAGCTCGCGACTGGATCTCTCCTTGACTTGAACAAGGTGGTTGCCCTACACCAGCTGAAGTTGCAGAAGCGCCAAGCCAAAGAGGGCTCGAAGAATCCAACGGGGGAGCCCAATGGAAGAGAATGACGATGGATTTGGCGCACCTCTCTCCCGATGGTTTTGACGCAAGCTCTTTGCACACAGGCTTCCGTGTCTCAAATGTATGATGCCCGCATGTGGGCTACCTGCCCGCCTTGCCGCAGGCGGTGGTCCGCCACGCGTGTTGCGGCGCATTTTTCCCGAAGTAATTTGCGACTTGCGCTATAGGCTCGACTTTGACACGCCGGCGTCGCACGGCAACCGTGCAAGGCGTCGCCAAGCCAGCGTGCAGCTCGTGAAGACCTACGATGACTTGCAAGTGTTTCAGTGCCTGCGTGAGTTTCGAGGGGAAGCTGTTGCGGCGGAATTTGCCGGCGCACGGGTCTACCAGTTGCCACGCGCGGGGAACCAGATCTGCTTTACTTCCTCCAGCGGCGAGGTCTGCTTTAAGATGCGCTGCTCTTGTGTTGTGCTGAACCTGCTCCTCCGAGCTATTGCTTGCAGCGACAGCAGGCCGGAAAGCCGGTACGATGAAAGGAGATCCCCGCCTCGATTTGTTTTTGGAGATGAAGTACTTGGGCCAGATCGGTGGCACCTCTTGGCAACTGATCTTTTCAAGCCTTCTGCGAGGGCTCCGCGTCAAGTTGTTTGCGCTGGTGCGGTGGTGTGCGCGTGTGGTGTTCATATAAATATGCGAAGTCAAGCGTGCCGTCTGCAGACTTTGGCCATCTTCGTCGCAGGACGTAACGCGCGCCGTGGCCGATGTCTGCCTCGCAGTCACCGCGCTGCTTGGCACGGCAGCTGGCTGTGTCGTCTGCGTCTACATGCTTTAAACTGCAGCGCTTGGCGGAGGGCAAAACGAATGCTAAGCGGCCCACTGGTGCTTTCAAAAGGAAAGCAGCCCAAGCGCTTGCTGGCGCAAGCGCCTGCTATAGAAGATGGGTGCGCGGCAGTCGACGGACACAGGATAAAGTTGCCCAAGCTACTGAATCACATGGTGGAAAGTTCCGACGGCTACCGCGAGGCCTGCGCTAGGAAAACGCTCAGACGCAGATGAAGCGACAGCTGGCCACTTGTCAGCGGAAAAAGGCGATGATGATCTATGATGCCAGTGTCTTGCATCCCACACGATGACATGTCCAACGTTCATGGCGGCTTCTTGGCCTTCGCAGCACAGATTGCACGTCGCTCGGACAAGCAAGCTTTCCTACCATAATTGCTGGGCACGAACGTCTTGTGCAGATATCTCATTTCTGCGCAGACTATGAGGGCTGCTGCAAGCTTCTTGGATCCAAGACCGCGTCTGAAGCTGTGTTGCTTGCGCGCTGCCTGTCTGCACTTTCCAATAGGAGCTCTTTTATGGCACGAGTCGGGCACGAGTCGACTCAGGAATTGCCAAGCTGGATGGTCACTTCTAGAGCATCGTGCGCGCAGATGTGCGGAAGTGCCAGGCAGTTTGGCCACGCGAGCTTGAGATGATGCACGACACTTTCTTGCAGGAGTCTGCTGGCTGGAGTAAGGAAGCTCCAAAGGAAAGAGCTGAAGTTTGGGTATTCGATCATCCCAAACGGCGTTCTGGCCTGCCCTAGTGCGCGAGCGGCTTTCTCTGTGGACAAGACCTGTGTAGACAGAGACAGCATGCGCCGCTACTTCTCTGACGGCGTTACGTCGGAGGAGATGTTGGTACAGAAGGCAGTAGAGCTCAAAGCGGGCGTGGGGCTCCGGGGTGTTGGGCGGTCAGTGGCAGAAGTGAAGCGGCAGGGCAGTGACGCGCAGTTCTCTTCTCCGTCCTCACGGAACGCTTGGCAGCTCAGGCGGGATTTCTTACTGGCAGAACTGGCATCCTTCGGCGCCCTCATGGATGTGACTGTACCCTGCGTTAATTCTTTGTTGCGCGAACTCGGCGATTCGAAGTAGCCGACATGCAACTCAGGTCGTTCTGCACCTGCGCGACCTTCGGCGCGGATGGGGTTCTTTGAGCCGTTTGCAGATGTTGTCCGCCTTGCGTCAAGAGCTGTTTGTGAAAGCGTACGGGCAGGAAGCCGTGCGCTGCTGGCCAACAGAATCCAGACACAAGCTGCACAAGCACAGGCTTGCAAATGACCTCCAACAGCACTTTGCATGTGGCGCCGGGAAATTCTCTAAGAGCGTGCTGACGAGAATGTTGAAGTATTGTCGCAGAGAGAGACATCCATTGGAAGCCAGCGCTTTCTGGAGATGTGTTTGCTGCAGCGGAAGTCGAAAAGCATGCAGGGGTCCGAGCGCTGTTAAGCACAAGGTGCTGCTCTGGCGGCTTGGAACTTCGTGCTAGAGAGATCCTTTTCTGGGATCAAGAAGCAGGCTTGCTCCAATTCTTTTTGCAAGATGCAGAAGACATATTTTGGGCAGTGGCGCTTTCCCTGCGCGAGCTGCCGAGCGAAGCGCCGCACGCACGACGGCTGCGCCGCACGAAGGAACAACGGGTGTTAAATAAGTCTAGCGTGGCCAAAGTTCGTCAGCCCACTTGGTGGCATGAAGATGAACATGGTGCGCTCCTTGCTCTACTGTGGATATAGCACCTGCGGTGGCGAGTAAACGTGCTTGCGCGCCTGCAGCAATGGAAGAGCGGGCGCAATCAAACTGCGAATCTGTCGCACGAGTTGGGCGGTAGTTTGCTGGTGGTGGTCCGCTATATATGGCGGTGGTCCGCCTATCAGTGTCCGCCTGAGATGGCGGTGGTCGGCCATGTCTCTTGGTTGTCGGCAACTGCACGCGACTGCCTTCGAAGAAAGTGCAAGGCTGCGAAGAAGCCAGCAGCCGAGACAGGAACGTGGTCTTGTTTGGGCAGCAGCGCAGAGACGCGTATGTCTGCAGGCAGACTCGCGTGGCAGAATCGAGTGCGTCTGCGGGCAGACTCGCGTGTCTGCGCCGCGAGTCTGCGGGTCCTTCTCTGGAAACGTCGCGCTGCGCCTCTCTGATCTCACTGCCCTGCTGGCACTCTCCCTGGCGTCGCAGTCCTGCGTGTCCAGCCTTGCCACTTGCCTGCCCACGATGTTTGCTAGACTCCTGCAGGCCCACGACAGCCATGCAAGTCGACGTGTTTGCCATCCGCCTTGCCGCTTTTCCGCATCCATGGGTCACGGCCTGCTGCGCGGCCATCACACAGAAAGCGTGTGCTTGCCACAGCGGCAGCTACTAAAGCCCATCCAGATTCAGGGGCAGGAAGCTGTCTCAAGAGGTCTGGGGTTCTTGGCTTGCAGCTTGGCACGCAGACTCGTCCTTGCTTGGCGTACCGGTTGAACGGACTCCAGAGGGCCGTGCGTGTGGCCAAGGCGAGTGACTTGAAGGATGCAAACAATGTGTCGGACTTAAGGAGACGCGCATCAAGCTTGTGTTTCCAGTCGGACATTGCAATTGACCGAGAATGGGAGAAGTCTTGCAGGAGGTCAGTTACGCACGCTTGGGTCAGTGACTGTCGTTCTTCGGTGGACTTGCTCACCAGTGAGGGACCGACGCATCAGCCACGCTTTCTTCCGTCCTTTCTACGACGGCCCATGACGAAGTGGGGTTCCAATGCGGAAGTTTTCCATGTCCCGCCGAGTCGAGAGACGGCGCCGCACGTTCCAAGAAGTCTGTTTCAGGTCCGGCGGAGCCAGAGGCTGACTCGCAGCGGCGGCTTCGTAGAGGGAATGTGAACATGTCTTCCTTTACCTCGGTGTTAGTTCTCCTGTGATTGCGCTAAGGAAGACTTGTACATACCGCAATATCCTGTCGGCGCGAAGGCGCCTTGAGTCATCCACGACAACAATGAGTTTGCGTATGGGGTGTCTTTGCGCTCAATAATCTCATTAGCCCTGTAGCACCGGGCTGCTGCGCAAGTTTTGAAGGAACCCTTTGATCTTGACGCGTGGGCATTGGCCTAAAAATGTGTTTGTCGCCATTGTGAACTTCTACGTGGTAGCGTTCCTTTTGCCTGAAGCCTGAACAGCCGTGATAGAAACAGAGGTTCTGATGTTTGCGCAACGCGCGCTGTTTGTTGGGAGTCTTCTGCTTGGATTAGAGACTTGACTGTGTGTCAAAGTGTGTGCTGCTAACTTGTGCCACGGGCGACTCAAAAAGAGTTGCAGGGCTAAGGTTGCCTCAAGAACTCACTTTGCAAAAGCTGAAGATCCATGCTCGTGCTATGTCTGGCGCTCACCAG